TCTATCCCTTCGAGCTGATCTTTTTTAATTAAAAAAAATTTTTTTAATTTCTCCCATGGAAATTAAATGCTCACAGAAGAATACCATCTTTGGAGAGTAATCTAGCCATGTGAAAACTGGCTTCCCTTCAACACGTAAATTAAGCTTACTATTTTATTTACCTCTCTGTTCAAAACTTGTTTTTTGGTAATGAAGCTAGCCTGAGGCTTTCCAGCACATTAGTCAAAAGAGCCCCAGTGCCCTTTGCCCTGATAAACCCAGATACAGCAAGATTCTACCCGCATCCTTGCAGGTGTAAGGTACAGCTGAGACATAGAGTGCTGAAAATCAGCTGAAATTATGGAATATGTGCATGTATTGTGATTCCTTCCTCTGTTTTCCCTAAGAAATGTGTATTTAAAATAATAATCACCATGACTATTGAGGATTTTCATGATGGATAATTAGCAAAGAATCAACTCAAATTTATTCACTTATCTCTATACTACAATTTCGATTATACTATGTTAAACATTACATCAATTCCTAAATATTGGGGCTCGGGAAAAGCTTTTCCATGGAAGTAAATTTATTTGCCAGACAGTCATCGTTTTTTATGTTAAAAGTAATATTGAATAAATTAAATCTGAGGCTGATTAATTTATGCATTCACGGGGATACGTAAAAGCGGTCAGTGAATGTGTCACCTGTCATTGCCACTGGCATAATACACAATACAAACACTAAACATGGGATAACAAGTTATCCTAGAACTCCACAGACAGGGACTGGTGTTACGGAGTGTTAGCATATTTGACTGGCCTCATCACTGTCCTTCAGTGTAAGTTCAAGCCCACTCCTTAGAAAGGAAAACACAAGATATATTAACTGAGGAACTGCAGCTGGTGAGAAGTCACCAACATCAGAGGAACTGAGGATAAACCACTGAAAGCAAAAGCATAGAACACCCTTTCTTGAAAAGTATATTGGAAACGACTGTTGTGAGGATTAAATGAATACTCTTGAGAATGATGTTAAAATTTTTTTGAAGGGTGTATTGAATAATTGTTCCTTCACAGATTTATTCTCAGCGGTTGACTATATCTCAGGATGACAGCAAGTTTATTTATTCAGTAGATACTTGTAAAGCTCTGACAGTCTCACTAGTTATTTTTTTCCTTACAAGTTTAAGTAATTTTTGCACATGCACTGAAAGCAGTCAAGATCTGATAAGGAGATTTGTGTCCCTGGATTTTTACTATGTTTTTTAAGTGATTGGTTGTTATTAAGGTAATAAGTTCCATTGTTTATATTTCCTTGTGCTTTCTGTCACAGGTCTTAATGGATGTTACTGGAAATTAAGCGTTTTAAAAATAAACTACTATAAAGATGGAAAAATATTTAAATACATAACCTACTACCAATAAACCCTGTTGTTTGGGGGTAGAGAGGGAACAGGTCTAAAGACATACCTGGATTGTTTGGCTCTGGTAGACTTTAATTACGTGAAAACTGAAACTGTAAATTCCTTTTCTTGGTGCTACAAAGACAGACTCCAGCGTGAAAAAATTACCCACATTTACTAGGATCTACAAATAAAAAGAATAACAGTAAATTACTACAATATTCTCTTCTGTAAGTAAAATAAGCTTTCTTCCTTCCATTTTCTTTTCTTCCTTTTTTTCTTAAGAAAGAAAACTAGCTTTAAAAAATAGAAAATAAAACATTAAGTTCTCTTCCTTTTGTCTTTAGTGACTTAGAAAATGGATTTGTATATTGGAAGTTTTCTCTCTTTTTTAAATGTTATGGAAAAAAATAAGGTCAACTGCTTTGTACTCATGCCTCAATTTCCAGCAAGGCCTAATGGCTCTGGAAACATCTAGGAACATGTGAAGGCTCAGAAATATTAGCTTTACCTTGAGAGTCAGATAAAAGGCATCTGCCATGTATTTACAAGCCCAGCCTCTACGAGCCTTCCCAGTGTCCAGAGGTGATGTTTCCAAGCCAGCCAATCGGCACCCAGGGGCTCTCTGCAGTCATTCCTGGACACATCATGCAGAGGCCTGGGCACCCCCTCCACCATGTGACATAATCCATGACACTGAAGAGTCGGTGCACAAAGTGATCTGAATGCCTGGCCCTCCTCTGAGCCTCTGCTAAGATCCACGGCCATTGGTTTCATTGCTATCTTCTAGGCCTTACTTATAATATTTTGGCAATGACTCAGCCTTTGCAGGCTGCCAAAGAGTAGAGACTGTGAAATAGGTGGCGTTCTTGTGTTCCTCTCAATTTTATCAGTTATCCCCCTTATCAATCACCTGCTCTTTATCTAAAGTTCAAGGGGCCAAAATGATGAAATAAAGCATCAGTTCCCAAGAAAATAACAATGCATTCTGTATTCCAAGAGGTTCGATCTGGTTCTACTGGTGATGAAATTATCTCTGAATTTCAGTAAGTGGACTCCTAAACTAAATGTCACATAGGTACATCCTTTCCTATGAAAAAGATCAAGAGATGTGTGTGTAAGGGGGTGGGCAATATAACTGGGTGTCTTCCATTTCTCTCCAAGAAATAAATCTGTAAGTGGCATTCCAAAATATCGGATATCCTTATAAAGACATTTACCCTATATCAGTGACAATCTGCTACTATCTCTTTTATACACCACATTCATGACAATATTAAGCCTTTCATATAGTTTCCTAAAGACATACTATTACCTCTGAGTGATGCACCAGAATATAGCGATGGTCAGGCAGATGTACGACGTGTATCATTTTATTCTGAGATTATACCTTTTTCCAAGTAAGCATCAGATTTCTTTCTCTGGCCCTATGATCAACGATCTTTCAACAAGTCACCAGCTATGCAATAATCCCAACAGAGGTTTTACAAAGATTCGTTTAAACACATTTAACAGAATTTGAGGTACTTAGCAAGGACTTCCTGAATCAGATAAAAGTAGCATAATTCATTAACAATAATGGAAACAGCTGATTAGTGTTGACTACACATAAGGCTGGATGTTGACTCTACACGGTAGTTAGAGCATCCAGGCACAAAGAGATTTATAACTAAGTATATCTTGTTGCCTGTAAGATGCATGACCCTCCCAGAACAGAAGAACAAACCCTTCTCCTCTTCTAATTGACCGAAAGGTCGCTGAAAAGAATGCACTGTACACAGCATAGTGCAATGTCCACAGCATTTAATTAATGCATTGAAATACAAGCCAGGGGTCGTGCTAGATTTTATTTCCATCAAGATGGAAAATACTGCACCAAAACCCCAAAGGGGCTGCTTAATTCTTTTAAAATGATAGCTATTCAATAGTTAGCCCCAGAGAGGCATTCCCTGTCTTTGGCCAGCTGGAGAGTGCATTACTTAGGAATTAAGTAAGGAATACAAATGTCACCTCGTCCCTTCCCTGGCACATCCTGCAGCACCACTTAACCTGTGCTCCTGCACGTGTGGCATACAACTGTGATCCCAGCATACGACTTCGGCATTTAAAAGACTCTGGATGCTGTTAGGGTTGAAATGATAACCCTGGAGTCTGTTTTCAGATTCCTTGCTAAACTGATATCCTGGGGTTTCTCATCAGCCAAACCCCAGAGCTCCTGGTCACTAAAACGAAGCCACAGCTTTCATCAGTTCCTCCCCTATCCCCTAACCTCAACCCCAAAGTCTGTCTTTCCCCACTAATTTGCATTTCTCCTAAAGGACAGGAGCAGGCAAAGGGAGGATGGCTCCCCAGCGCTTCCCTTCGGGAGCTCAGCGCAGCTGCCCAATTCCTTGTCCTCTCCTCCTCCGCAACTTTTCCCCAAGTACCAGAGAAGGGTTTTCCGCTGCGGCGGTGCCTGAGACGTGTATGGGGATCCTGGCAGCGGAAGGGTGAACAAGATCTGACCAGGGCCAACGCTCCCCACCCTCTTCGGCCATCTGCGAGATCTCTGCAGAGTGTGGGAATCCCACCTCCCCAGCTCTCTTTGGGGAGATGCTTCTCCATCTGGGAGAAACAAATCATTTATCCAGCTTCCGCAAGGGTACAGCGCGTGAGAATGCCTCCGCAGCACCTGCAGGAGAGTCTGAGCCGGGGGCCAAGCTCTGGCCAAGAGATTGCGAGGTCCAGGGACCAGAATCCCGCCGGCTGCTACGGACCTGTTGCTGTTAAACTTGTCTTGAGCTCTCGCCGGCAGTTCTGTGCTCCCAATCTCTTTCCCACCGCCCCCAGCAGCTGTTCCGGAGGCCAAGAGGGACTGGGGGCGGGGACGGGGGTGGGAGAGACATTAGAAGTTTCAGACGGACATATCTGGGGAAGGGAGTGCCGAAACGACCCCCCACATCCCACTAAGACCCGCTTAGCCTGAACAGCCAGCCTGGATCGGCGCTGCCTAGAGGTCGGCTCCCCCACCCCCGACCCCCGTCGGTACTCCGCATCCCTGGAGGTCTGACCTGATCGAAGTAAATGATGCGCGTCTTGTTGCTCATCTCGGACGGCTCGTGGTTGGTGCTCCGCACCGCCGAGAAGGCGACCTTGGAGTTGGCCGCCCGGACCGAGATGCCCAGAGGGGAGGAAGAGGAGCCCTTGGAGTCCGTGGCCGGGTTCGAGTCGCACACCACCAGGCACTTGCCCTCCAGCACGATGGGCTCCGTGTCGTTCTGCGCCCAGACGGGCAGCCCAGGCAGGGTGAGAGCCAGCAGCACGGCCGGCACCACGGACAGCGCCCGGCGCCCGGAGCTCATGATGAGCCGAGGGGGCAGCCGCAGCCGACTGGCGCTTCTGCTCGCCCGCGAAGCCTCCTACCCCGGGACCCCGGAGCTCGGGAAGATGCCGGTGGCTAGATCGAAAGCGCTGCAGGAACAGCGGCGGCGGCGGCGCGCACACTTCCACCAATTCTACGGTTTGAAGGCAAAGTCTCCCCTCGCGCTCTCTCGCTGGTTCTGTTACCTTTGTCCTTTAAGGAGCTCATGCAGAACCCCCAACCCCACCCTCCTCCGCTCAAGAATCAGCCCTGCCTGGGGCCCTTGCACCCACTCTTGTTCCTAGACATTTAAAGTCACCAAACCCTCACTTTCACACCTCAGAGGGGAAAATGATAATAAATTCTCACCCTAAACCCAAGCACCCCCAGGTGAACCACGGAGCAGGAAAAAACGAAGAGGACTCAGGGAAGCCACGCGGGTGGTGGATGGCGAGCGGTGCCGTGTCGGTCCTGTACGCGTCTGGCTTGCTGCAGGGACGAATTACAGAGGCAGAAGGTGTTTCCCGGACTGGGAAGAACGCGAGGCTGTGTTCATGGCCAGGGCTCTAGCGACTCCCACTTTCGCTTGGTCAAAAATTCCTCAAAGCTTAGTGTCTCCCAGACGTCGGCAAGTGGGCAGCGGTTAGCCGGGTCCCCAAAGTGGAAAGCAAAAATTCTCAGGATCAGTTCCAGGGTGCAGGACGGCTCGGCCGGCGAGGTCCTCTCCTGCCTCTGTCGCACGCCCCGAGTCCCTGCGCACAACTTTCTCTGTCCTCGCGCAGCCAGGAGAGCGCGAGGCGGGCACACGCGCGCTATTTATAGGAGCGCACGTCCGGCTGGGGTTGGCTTCTAGCTCAACCCGCCGGCTCTCGGGAAAGGGGAAGGAGTCTGGTGACCGCAGCTGGGCATCTCCTACCTGGCGTTTAACGCACCCTGGAATGAGCCGGGCGCCCAGCGATGCTGGCTGCCAAGGTCCGAGGCCACCCAGACCCGGCGAGCGCGGGGTGCGGAGAGAGAGCCCAGAGATAGGCGCCCACCGCCCTGCGTCTGCCCCAGCTCGGCGTCTCCTCGCCCCCT